GCAGGGGAAAGACCAAGCAAGACTCACTGTGCTTCCCCTGGGAGAACCACTGGCCCCAGGCCACACTGGGTCCCTGTGGCTCCTCCTCCCCTACACAGTAAGGCAGGGCAGGGCTTTTTTAGTGTCCTTGCACACATAACTGCATTGCATTCCCAATAACAGTCTTTCTAGTGTACCCAGAAATTGCATGCAAGCACCTCTCTAGGGCAAAAAGCACTTTCTGTGCTTGTACCAAAGCTGCAAAACTAACAGTGCTCTGAGCTGCAAAGGGGGGCTAGAAGAGGCTGCACTGCAAACAGGAGGCAGGACAAATAGCTTCAATCTCTGCAACAGAATTTAATATTATAAAATTACACACAGTCACCCACAGAGCTGCTTACAAGTACTACTGGGAAAAACATCAAAGCAAAAGAGTTACTTTAGAAAGGTTTTGTCACAGTTGCTTAGTATCATCTCCCCCCCACCCAAAGATTTTCTTGCCTCTTCATTTCCTTAGAAAAGTGACCTACACATAACACAGGAATTACTTGGGAGTCCAGATATGTGCCAGGAAAGAGGTCATGCACCTGAGGCTATTCTTTAGCAGGGTTTTCAAGGTGTCCTCCCAGAAAGAAAGCCAGCACCTCTGTGCTCTTTGCAGGACGTACACCATCCCCTGCCCTCACAAGTTTCCAGCACCCAAATCAAAAACCTGGAGAGCTGACATTGTGGAAACAGGCAGCTGAACAAACAGGCTTCCATACAAGAGCCATGGAAAGGTCCAAAAAGAATCTGGTATTCGTGACTCACTTCCCATTTTCCTCCAGATCCCCTGCAGGCAGCCAGAGCTCCGCTTGTGCCCTGAGGCCAAAGGGGACAAATGTCCCAAACTACAGAGAAATAGCGAAACCCACGAGATGCTGCTGAACTCTTCAGAGTCTCACAGACACGGGGCAGAGCTGAGAGTCTGCTGGTACTGCACACTGTGTTCCTCAAAGGTCTGGAAAAGCAAACCATCAGAAAGGAGCCCCAGCGTGCTGCCAGCACCTTCGCTGTGATACTTACGGAGCTGAGGTCTATAAGTTCAGCCAAGTGATGATGAGGGGGATGCTAAGAACTGACACATGGGGAACGCAGATACAGGCAAAGCTTTGGGCTGTGCTGGGATTGCAGAGGTCAAACAGGCTGCCTTGGAATTTGATCTTTCGGGACTCCTTCCTCAGCATCTCCCAGATGGCTGCTGCTTCCTTCTGGCACTCCCAGAGAGCAGTCAGGGCACAGACATGAAATTCATCCCAGTACCTGCAGCAGAGAACCGCACCATTAATTCCCTTACTGTATCACAGCACGAAGGAGCAGGCAGAGCCCAGTCAACCCTGCAAACATCTGCAGCCTCAATATTTTGAGCCCCAGGACCAGCACAGAGAGCAGCCCAACAGGAAACACCCACTCTATTAAAGCTTAAAGGTTCAGCAGCCCAACAGGACTTCCATGTAGAGCATGATGAGTGCAGTCCTGCTGGCCTAGCACACTCCAGCACTAGCCCTCTGCTGCGTCTGCCCCTCAGCTCCTGCTTACCTTTGCTGAAGAAGCCAGCTGGCTCTGGAGAAGCTGCTTTTGAGCTGTTCCCAATAAGCTCTCTGCCCACAGCTGCAGAGCAATGTGGATGAGCTCCAGCTGCCCCCAGGTGAAGACACCAGGCAGAGCCGTGCCTCCCTGCCTTGCATGGGGAGGACTGGAGCAGGCATCTCCGTCTGTTTGGGTTTGGCATGTTGCTTTGTGGAGGAGATTTATTTAGATTATTTCAGTTGCAGAGTATTTGGGACTATCAGAGTATTTGACTGAGTGCCAGAAGCAAAGGCTGCTGTATAGTGCTGCACTGTGCTGGGGAGGGGATGATGACATCCTAGGAGATTGCTGTGTGAACAGCAGCACGACAGCATGTCCCAGCACAGCTGAGCTCACAGGTGAGGTCACTACTTTGTAGATGCAAACCCACAAAATAAACCAGCAGGAGCCTGAAAGTCTCAGCGAATGCCATGGCCCGTGCTCAGCCCTGGAGCTACAGCCCTGGTGACTCCTCCAGCTGGCACGGGCAGCACTGGCTGGCAGAGCTCCCCAGCACCTGCAAGCAAGACCTCAGAACGGTTCACCAGTGTGGTTTGAAGCTGTGGTTTCTCTCAGAATGATAACCTGTCCCCAAGATAGATTAGGCTCTAAGCCATGCTTGCTGCTAATCTTCCCCAGGTCTCCCTTCAAAAAGAAAAGCAGTGGCTCTGCACCTTTGCTACCCCGGGCCCCCAGGCTCACATCCCAGCCCAGCAATAGAGCACAGACCCCAGCACCAGAACAGCTCAGCCTGGTTTTGTTTAAGCACCCGGTGCTGGAGTTGGCACCTTCCTCCAGACATGCAGAAGAGAGAACTTTATTTAGTTTTCTTACCAAGCTGAAGTCAGAATGCCAGCTGTGATCCAGTTCATTAAACAGAGTCACCGTGGCAGAATAAATATCCTGAGATAATGAGAGCCTGCTGCCAGGCGAGGTGGGGGTTTAGCCTGACTCATCCCTTTGGGTAAAGGGTGGCACAAAGCAGCACCCAACCCACTTCTGCTTTTGGTCAGGGATGGCACACTGCAGTGTTTCGCCCCACTCAGCCCCCCCTGCTCAGCTGCTGGGCTGCGGTCACACAGCCCTTAGGGAACCAAGATGTCCACGCTGCTGGTGCAATGCTCTCAGCTCCACTTCCACCCCCAAGTCATGTACCCAGAGAGAGGACCATGATTCTGGGAAGGCAGAGAAAGGATGGGGTTAAAGGCCAGTCATTCAGAAATAGTTCCTTACAGGAAACTGGGACGTCACTGTCTTTTTCCTCTGGTCACAGCAGGCTTGTCATGCACTGTCACCACTTCACCAGGACTGAGACAAGCCAGTTCCTGAGCCCCTGCCCCACTGGGAAGACTCCTTCCTCCATTCCTTCTATTTTATATCCCTGTTCAAAGCCCCCTCCTACACATTCACCTGCCCTGGAGCTGGAAGTTTCAGCAGAGAAGAATCAGCCCTCAGCAGCCGGACACAGAACACACTGTGCTGCGTGCCCTGCTGTCCCCAATACCAAGAACCCACATGCTCAGAGACACAGTACTGAGAAATTCCCATTGCATCCCAGCATCCTGCCATGTCCTGGGAAGGCTGCACACCCTGAGCTGGTTTTTCTGTGCAGAAAAGGGGAAGAAAGAGCAGGACATACCCAGCTCCCGTCTGCTTGGTGCCTAGCAAGGAGGCAGGCAAATAAACATGAAAGCAGAGGTTCGCACGGCTGTACTCACCCACAGACCCTGTGCAGCCCCTGCAGCTCCATGCTGTCCTCCTCCCCGTATGTGGCCATGCTCTCTCCCAGCTTCAGGACGCAGTCAGAGACCCTTCGGTACACATTGGTGCAGGCGGTGCCCGATGCCAGCAGCATGGCCAGATACCCTACCAGCACCAAGGGGTTGGTGTGAGCATGGGACCTCTGGGGGCAACACCCACCTCCTCCCTGGGGTGGCGCAGGCAGGGGACCCCAGCACCCAGATATCCCAGGCACAGGATGTTCCCCATGCCATCTCCTGAATCCAGACTGGACCTGGCTCTCATACTCAGGTCCCAACCCAGATCCCAGCCCCGGCCTTACCCAGCGCCACAAGTATCGCAGCCGTGCCCCACTGCCGCCCCATGCCACTACCCTCACTCCAGCCCTGGTACCCCATGGCCTGCAGGATCCCCGCCCACCTCCGTGAGGAGGGCAGCCAGCTCTGGCCGTAGCTAATTAGTGGATCTGGCCATGGTTAATTAACAAGGAGGCTGAACCATCGTTAATGAGTGCCCACAGGCAGAGCAGTTCTCATTGCAGCCCTTTGCTAGCACTCATGGCTGCATGCAGCCTGCACCTCACATCTAAGCTCCCTGTGCCCATGGACACCATTACACCCCTTTGCCAGCACTCACCCCCCTAGCCTGGGAAAATGCAGCTCAGCACATGGAGCTGCATGGGAAACTGTGGGATTTGGGGTCTCAAGGGTTAAGTGCACCGGGCATCCCACATACACCCCATCCTCTGCTAAGCTTCCTAGACTCATGCAACCCTGCTTCTTCCCACAAACCCTCAGTTGTGCAGCCCTGTCCCTTCCTAGGATTCTCAGCCTTGTGCAATCCTGTCCCTTTCCACGAATCCCTCTGTTGTGCAGCTCCATGCTGTGCAGCCCCAGCACCATGCGATCCGAGTGCCATCTGCTGGACTGGCCCCGGTGTGCTGTGCTCTGTGCACTGCTCTGTGCAGAGCCGAAAGCCACTGTCAAACCAGACTGCAGCTCTCACGTGCCACCCCAAATGTGCAGTAGGGCCTTCCAGCAGTGGAGACCTGGGCAGAGTGAGCATTGCTCTGGGTTCATGCTCTCTCCTTGTGCTCTTGCTCTTCATTTGGTGCTTTCTGTGCTTGTCCCAGTGTTGCTCTGAGAGCTGCCATTGCTGTGGGGCTGCAGCCACCCTCAGGCTGTGTGCTTTGAGCCTCCTGGGTAACCCAGTGCATCACGTTGAACAAAGCCTGAAGTGTGTGTGGCTTCAAAGCCTTCAACTTCAGCACCTCCAGCTATAAAACGTTCTTTGTTGATTCTGGCACCAGCAGCTCCCATTGCTGTAATATCCTTAAGGGGATTACACGGTACTGTGCATCTTTACAGCCTGATCCTGGCTTTTCTCCAATGAGTCATTCTTTGGTTACCCCAGCCCAGATGGGAGCAGGAGGTTTCTGGAACTTTGACAGCATCACCATGGGGGCTGGTGGTGTCTGAGCCCCGTGGGCATGAGCACAGCGTGTCCTGGGGTGCCCGGAAGAGAGTCCTCCTCCTCTCTGTACACATCTATCCCTGCACCTGGGGGGGGGCTGCACCCCAGCATTCTCCATCCCCTGAATCCAAAGCAAGTAGAAACCTCTTACAGGCACAGTGGAGAGTCAAACTAAAAGCAGTTCTGAGACAGACAGCCACCACCTTTATTCATAGCAGAAGGCTGAGTGCATCACCTCACAGGTCTCCTGGCAGCTCTTCTCCAATTCCTCAGGCAGCCCTGAAAGTGAAGCCAGCAGCTGATGAGCTGTGCTGGAGCTCAGGGGGGTGGCCCTGCTCAGTGAGGACAGTGCTCATACCAATGGTGGTCACCGGGAGTAATGGATGGTGAGCGTGCGCTCCAGGCTCTCTCCGCAGGATCGGGTGCAGCAGGGCTTGACCCAGCGCTGGGCTGAAGGCCGGCACAGCACTTTGGGGGCTGGCATGTGGAAGCGCTGGGGAAGGGTCCTCAATAAGTCCCGCTTGGCTTCCACAGCTGCTGGTGGTGTGCTTGTCACTGAGTCCATTGGTGCATCCACGATGCTGCTGGTCGAGCTGGTCTCAGCGTTGTCCACAGCCTCCTCCACCTCTGGCATGTGGCGACATTCCCTAAGCCCAGACCGAAAAGCATCCTGCATCTGTGCTGCCCAGAGGGGCTGTATGCCAGCACCGGGTGCGGGTGGTCGTGGCTCAGTGCACCTAATGGGCTGCACCTGTCTGCACACCTCCATTAAAGCTGAACCCAGCACCCTCCCCGCACCACCCCAAACTGCCTCTAATTCACACCCCTGGGCTTTATCCTGCTGTAGTCCTTTCCCAGCAGAGCAGCAGGGCTGGGGCACGGACTCTGCACCCCCACCTACCTGGGGAGCAGTGATGTGACGCCGGGCAGCCCCTGTGCTTTGAGTGAGTGCCAGCAGTGCACAGCAACTGCATGCAGCCGCTGCACCCTGCGGTTTGTGCTCTTCAGCAGCCGAAGCAGTGTCAGTGATTTCAGTGTCTGTGGGGCAGGAGGACAGGGGTAGGGCTCAGAGACCATCCCATGCCACACAGCCCCTGTGGTGATGCCAAGGGACCCTTACTTTCCAGAGGCGACTTTTCTGCTCCACGATGCACAGCGGGCAGGGCTTGTCCCTTGGGCCTCCAGCCTGAGAGGGGGAGAAAACATGGGTCACAGGGTCACAGTTAGGGTTAGGGTGGCACCAAGCTCATCTCAGAGAGCATCCATCTCACTGCACCCCAAGCAGAGATGCTTAATTTGAGCAAGGGGTGGGCAAATCAGTGGGGCCTTCTCCCAGATCATGGTATTGCCAAAGGCACATGGAGACCCCAACCCCTCTGATAGGGTCCCCTCCCTGTGATGTCCCCATGGTGGTGGCTCGGGGAGTGCAGTGCCATGCCACAGCGTTGTACCTCCTGGAGTGCAGCTGATTTCATTTTGGGTGCAGCTGATTTCATTTTGTGGCCTCAGATGGCAATGCAAAGCTGTGGGGAGAGGTGTTGGGGGCTGTTCTTGGCACTGCTGGTGGCCACAGTGTCATGGGCTGTGACCTCACTGTTCTGTGACACTAGAATTCCAGTCCCAGCACCCAGCTGTGCAAAGAGAATGGGGACAGCCCTGTAATGGCAGAGATGGATCAACAGAGAGACAGCTCAATGGGAGATCAGCTTGATGGAGGGAGAGCTCAATAGGGGTACAGGGATAGAGCAGCTTAAGGGTGAGAAGAACACAGTGGCAAACAATGCTTGTCTGTACCCTGCGTGTTGGGACGGCTCTTCCTCTGCGGTCCTTCTGGACACCAGCATCTGTCCCAGCTCCACACTGCCTCCAGCCCTGTGCCAAGTGTCTCCTGGCTCCGTGGGGGCTGAGGCTGTGTGGTGACATTGACACGACAGGTCCAGTGCTGCAGGGCTCGCGGTGAGCCATGCCTTCACCCAGCTCTGGCAGCCCATTCAATGGCAGTGGTTCCAATCTGAGCGTCACAGAATAACAGAATCACAGAATCACCCGGGTTGGAAGGGACCTCAAGGATCATGTAGTTCCAACCCCCCTGCCTAGCAGGGCCACCAAACATCCACATTTAGACCAGGTTGCCCAGGACCCCGTCCAACCTGGCCTTGAACACGACCAAGGACGGGGCATCCACAACCTCCCTGGGCAGCCTGTTCCAGGCCCTAACCACTCTCCTTGTAAAGAACTTCCCCCTAACATCCAACCTAAATCTTCCCTCCTTCAACTTGGATCCATTTCCCCTAGTCCTGCTATTGTCAGCCCTTTTGAAGAGTTTACTCCCCTCCTGGCTGTAGGTTCCCTTCAGGTACTGATAGGCCGCAATGAGGTCACCCCGCAGCCTTCTCTTCTCCAGGCTGAACAAGCCCAACTCCCTCAGCCTGTCCTCATAGGGGAGGTGCTCCAGCCCCCTGCTCATCTTAGTCGCCCTCCTCTGGACCCTTTCCAAAATCTCAATGTCTTTCTTGTACTGAGGGCTCCACACCTGGACACAGTACTCCAGATGGGGCCTCACAAGAGCCGAGAGGGACAATCACCTCCCTCTCCCTGCTGACCACCCCTCTCCTGATGGAGCCCAGGATCCCATTTGCCTTTCGAGCTGCCAGAGCGCACTGCTGGCTCATGTTCAGTCTCTCGTCCATCAGGACCCCGAGGTCCTTCTCTGCCGAGCTGCTCTCAAGGCCCACTCCTCCCAGCCTATACGGGTGCCTGGGGTTCTTCCGGCCCAAATGCAAAACCTTGCACTTTGCCGTGTTGAACCTCATGAGGTTCACCCGAGCCCAGCCCTCCAGCCTGTCGAGGTCCCTCTGAATGGCATCCCTTCCTTCCACCGTATCAACCGCACCACTCAGCTTGGTGTCGTCAGCAAACTTGCTGAGGGTGCACTCAATTCCCTCATCGATGTCATTAATAAAGATGTTAAAGAGCACCGGTCCCAAGACAGACCCTTGGGGGACACCACTTGTTACCGGCCTCCACCTGGACACAGAGCCATTGACCACCACCCTCTGTCTGCGGCCTTTCAAACAATTGCTTATCCATCGGGTCGTCCACCCATCAAATCCACTTCCCTCCAATTTGGAGATGAGGATGTGGTGGGGGACCATGTCAAAGGCCTTGCTCAGGTCCAGGTAAATGACATCGGTCGCCTTCCCTTCGTCCGCCAATGCCGTCACTCCATCATAGAAGGCCACAAGATTAGTCAGGCATGACCTTCCTTTGGTGAAGCCGTGCTGGCTGTCTCGGATCACATGCTCATTCTTTATGTGATCGAGCATGTTGTCCAGGAGGATCTGTTCCATGATCTTCCCAGGCACGGAGGTGAGACTCACCGGCCTGTAGTTCCCCGGGTCCTCCCTGCTCCCCTTCTTGTATATGGGAGTGACGTGACCCTTCCTCCAGTCATCCGGGACCTCACCTGACAGCCACGACTTCTCAAATATGGTGGAGAGCGGCTCGGCAACCACCTCAGCCAGCTCCTTCAGGACCCTGGGATGCACGCCATATGGCTCCATAGACTTGTATTCATTCAGTCTGAGGAGGCACTCTCGGACTTGCTCTGCCCTTACAGTGGGGAGGGATTTACCTCCTTGGTCCCCACATAGAGGTTTGGGGATGCAGGGTTCATGGACGTGAAAAAGACTAGAATCCTGGCCACCAGTGAAGAGCGAGGTGAAGAACTCATTCAGCACCTCAGCTTTCTCTTCATCTGTTGAAGCCAGTTCTCCTTTTAAATTTACCGAAGTAGGTACGCCCGTTTTGGCCTGTCTCTTCTGGCCAATGTACCTGTAGAAGGTTTTCTTATTGTTTTTCACGTCCCTTGCCAAGTTCAGTTCTGCCTGCGCCTTGGCTTCCCTGATCCCACGTCTGCAAGTCCGGATGGCATCCCTGTACTCTTCCCAGGTGACACAGCCTTGTTTCCAGAGCTTGTACACCCCTTTCTTCGCCCTCAGTTCTCTCAGCAGGTCCTTGCTGAGCCATGCCGGTTTCCTACCTCGCCTGCCCACTTTCTTATTCAGAGGAATGGAGACCTCTTGTGCTTCCAGGAGGGCATCTTTGAAGAGCCGCCAGCTCTCCTCAACATCCTTGTCTTTGAGGGCAGAGCGCCAGGGGATCTTGGCCAGCAATCCATTGAGTAGCTTGAAGTCTGCTTTTCTAAAGTTCAGTGTCCTGATCCTGCTCTTTGCCAGGCCCACATCGCTTGAGATCACAAACTCAACCAGGTTGTGGTCGCTGGAGCCCAGGCAGCCTCCAACCTTGACGCCTTTGATGATCTCCTCGGCGTTGGTAAGCAGCAGGTCTAGCAGTGCTTCACCTCTGGTCGGTCTGTCCAATACCTGAACCAGAAAGCTATCGTCAATGGATTCCAAGAGCCTTCTGGAGCTCTTGCAGCTCGCCGTGTGGTTTTCCCAGCAGATGTCTGGATGGTTGAAGTCCTCCACCAGGACAAGAGCCTGTGAGCCAGACATCTCACGCATCTGGAGCAAGAAAGTCTCGTCAACAGCCTCCCCTTGATCAGGTGGTCTGTAGTATACCCCTAACACCAGCTGACCTATATTAGTCCCATCTCTAATCCTAACCCACAGGCTCTCAACCTGTTCTTGACTGTTTCTCGTAGGGAGCTCCTCACAGTTTATCCAATCTCTGACATAGAGAGCAACTCCCCCACCCCTCCTACCTCTCCTATCTCTCCTAAAGAGTCTATAGCCGTCGATGGCAGTATCCCAATTGTGGGAGTCATCCCACCATGTTTCTGTGATAGCAACAGGTCATAACTTTCCGAGTGCATCACAGTTTCCAGTTCCTCCTGCTTGTTACTCAGGCTGCGTGCATTGGTATAAAGGCACTTCAGCCGGGCTATCCGTCTCGCCACCTTTATAAGGGATCTAGGATCCCCTAGAGCAGCAGCATCCCCAGCACCCCCTGCCCTAGTCCTTCCCTATGCACTCTGCCATCATTGCCCATGGAGTTTGGTACAAGCCCTCGAATGACCCGTTCAACCCCAGTAGCCCTTATTTTGTCCCCTTCCCCCTTCATTCCTAGTTTAAAGACCTGTCAATGAGTCCCGCTAATTCTTCAGCTAAGATCCTCTTACCCCTCAGGGACAGGCTGCATGCATCAGCAGCCATCATGCCAGGTGCAGTGTAAATTGCCCCATGGTAAAAAAAGCCGAAATTCTTGCGCCTGCACCAGCTCTTAAGCCATCTATTGAAGAGTTGGGTATTTTGGATCCTCCCTGTACCTTTCCCTGACAGCACGGGCATAGAAGAAAAGACCACCTGCACCCCAGCACCTTCAAGTATTCGCCCCATTCCCCTGAAGTCTTTCTTGATAGACCTCAGGCTTTCCTTATCAACTTCCTCGCCGCCAGTCTGAATTATTAAAAGTGGGTAATAATCTGAAGACCGAATCAACCCAGGAATTTTCTTTGAAATGTCCCTGACCCGTGCCCCAGGAAGGCAGCACACCTCTCTGCGGGTAGGGTCGGGCCGGCATATAGGGCCTTCTGTTCCTTGCAGAAGGGAGTCGCCTATGACAATCACCCTCCTGTCCTTGCGGGTAGAAGCAGTCTTGAGGGTTGGGGGCGACCGCTTCGCCTGAGGCAACCTCACAGGTGAACCTGTCTCCGCACTCTCACTCGTCCCCCCCTTGACTTCCAGGGCTTCAAACCTGTTACGCAGAGGCACCTGGGGAGCCGGGGATGGTCGGGATGGGGGATGCTCCCTCCGCCGAGCAGGTACCCGTTTCCACTCCTCCTCCCTTCTCAAATTGCTGCAAATTCCATGCAGCCATCCCTGCCAGCTGGCTTCAACAGAAATGCAACACATTCTGGTGTGGGAGAAAAGTGCAGGGCTATGTCAGAAAGTATCCCCGAGGGGCAGTCTGTAGATCCTGAGGGAGTGAAAAGATTAAAAGAGTAGAAAGGGAACCCCCCCAAATGCACAGAGCAGTCACTGATGTGAGCAGCCATGCCTTGCCCTGCAGCTCTGCCAGATCCCATGCCACCAGCCAGCCATGGGGACGTCTGCAGGGCACGGACCTGGGATGCAGGGACACAGCACTAGCTCAGAGCCCCCTGGGGACCACCAGACCTGAGGACACCGGCGTTCTCTTGGGGCATGGCCAAGAGCATGGCCCTGCTCCCCCCAGTGCTGTGGGAGCCTCATTTCTCAGCAGCCACATTCCTGTGAGGGTGTTTATGGCTTTGCTCTCTCCCTGCTGTCCCAGGCTAAAATCTCCCTTTTAAGGAGCCCAGGGAATGCGGCTGCTGCAGCTCCGCAGGCTGCTCCCTCACAATTTATTGCCTCAGAAAAAAAAATCCTTGCCTTGTTTTTCTCTTTGCTCTGCAATTTACCAAACGAGCCAAGCTGTGCCTCACTGCCAGCACTGCCTGTGAGGATTACGATCGATTTTCCCCACGGAATGATTCACCTGCCTAGCACCAGCTCACCTTTCACTGTGCAGCTGCTCCCTCCCCAGCTCCATCCTCACCTCCCGCCCCACACGCCCTGACTCACCTCCTGTTTGTTGCAAACCTGTAATAGAAGGGAGAAACCTGACCGGGAGCAGCAGGAGGAACAAGTCACGTTGCATTTTCCCCTGATGACGACCACGCTTTGATGCTGGGTCCCCTGAGGATTTTTGGCAGGAGCTGAGTTCTGTGTCCCGGAAAGAAGATGTGTCATTCCCTACCTGGGCCAGTGACCCGGATCTCCTGGGGACACTTCCCAGGGACCAGAGCACCGTGGTTAGGGTGGCACAGGACAATGCCATGGGCCTGCCCCAGCAGCACAATTGGGCTCCATCCCTATGGGTATCAATCAGAGGTTTGCTCTCAGGGCTCCCTACTTCGAGTGGGAACTCCCTGTCACCTTCAGTGTCCCCTCTTGCCCTTTGGTAAGGAGCAGGCACGCTTGGTCACGAGTGAAAATCATTATGTGGGGCATTATCAGTTTAAATGAAATGAGTGCCCTTCTGAGCTGCACTGCTTGTGCTGGAGAGCTGGGATGAGTCAGGCTGTGGGTGGCTGATATCATGGCTCCCAGCCCCCTCCCAGCCAGGCAGGATGGAGCATACAGATGCTTGCATGTGGGTCCCTCAGCACCACCAGTGCTGTGCCCACAGTGGGGACACGGGGAGCACAGAGCCCCAGGGACCTTGGGGTGCTGCAGGGAATCCTGAGCAAGGGAGCGGCTTCAGTGTGCCGTGGTGGGAAGCGGTGCCAATGGGTGCAGACATTGCACATAGCACAGAGTTGAGCTCATTCCCTGGCCCTACTCTCATGTTTTCAGCAAGGGTCAGCGGGGGTGGCTGACAGGGTGGGCACACTGCCTGGTGCAAGCCAGGCCTGCAGGTACCCACATCCACACCAAAGCTCACCCCTTGTCACCAACATCACCTGCACGAGGTGACACCAGCAGCTGTGGGAAGCACAGGCAACAGGTCTCCAGCTCAGCCCAGCTTCTAGCAAGTGGGGCAGACAGCAAAGGCAGCAGGAGAAGGATGCAAACAGCGCCCGGCGATTCCTTTTAGCCAGAGGAAAAAAAAAAACAAAACAATAACAATAAAGGACGCAGCGAGCAGAGCGTGCATCCTCATCCCTTGCAACGGGACCTCCGCACGGCAGCCAGACCCGCAGAGACCCCGCCGGGCTCCAGCATCCACGCAGCCCCCCGAGCCCCGCGCACCGCCCGCTCGCTGGCACCGCCCCGCAGCACCGAGCACCGCCCCGCAGCGCGGCCATGGGCGAGCGGCAGCCCCGCGCTGAAGCCGGCCCGGGCTCAGCAGCCGCCGCCGTATGTCGGGCGCCGGGGCTCGGAGCCGCAGCCGGCGGCTGCCCGGTGAGTGCTGGGCGAGGCGGAGTGCGGGGGAGCGTTCGGAGGGAGGGGGAGCGGGGTCGGGAGGGGGTCTGCCCTGTAACGTGCTGTAAGGGCTGATTGCCGAGCGGCGATGCCCCCCTCGAAGTCCTACCAGCCCAAATCCTGGCTCGCCCCGCAGCTGCAGCCTGCCGGTCCGGCTGCTTCGAAAGGGGGATGCGTGGAAAGCCCCGAGCCCGGGATGGGGATGCGCAGTGGGGGCACCTGCTTGGGAAGCGACTGAGCTCGGGGACCTGTTAGCCACAGGACAGGAGCAGAGGCGGCTGTCCGTGAGCCCCCAGGAGCACCAGGTGCTCCCGCACCAGCAGGGCTTAAGGGATGAAGAGAGCGAGCAGAGCAAAGCACGAACAGCGGTATGGGATGACTGGGAGCCGTAGCCGTCTGCGCGCCGAGCCTTTCCCTTCCCCACGCCGTGCTGCCCTCCCGGCTTTTTCGTCCTCCCGCGGCTGTAAGAATTGAATCATGGCCCCGTAAATAGCCGGGTCTTATGACACAGCCTCTGCTGGGTAAAAGAGCTCTGGGCGGCAGGGATATTTTTAGTGCTGAGATGCAGGGGATTTGGAGATGCCTTGGAGGAGTGCAGGCGTTGAAACCGCTGTACAGAGGGGTTATAAAGTGCCGCGTCCTCCCCGTCTCAGCCCTCCTCGCTTTTCCCAGCGAACGGCTCTGCCAAAACCACCGCTTCCCTTCCACTCTTCTGGTGCATTTCCTCTCACCAAGGCTGTGGTTATTTTTTGCTTTGCTGCGACACGAGGTCAGGAAAGCTGACTGAGAAGGGACCGGGCAGGGAATTCATGCTCAGGCGGCCATGGTGTCCAAGTATCCCATTTCCACGTGCATGACCCTGAACGCTTCTCTGCAGCATTCCCAGCTTTCCACTCCAGCTGCTTCTCCCTAGGCTAAAGGAGCAGAGAGCCCTTGGGACTTACCCTTGCTCTGCCATGTTTTTGCTGGGGCAGGGCGGACAAGAAGAGGCCCGTATCTCTGCAGGGTTGCCTGGAGGATACTATGGCAGTCGAGGAGCTGCATCTTCCCTGCTTCAGTCTCCCCATGTCCTGCAAGCCAGGCAGCTGGGGGTGCCCTGATCCTTTCCAGAAGTGCAGGGTCAGGTTTTGGTCCAGGGCAAGTGCAGGGAGAAGGGCTGAGGTAGCTGAGCTAGCTTGCTCCCACTCATTTGTTCTGTAGGGAACAGGGAACCATGCTTGGTGTGACCCCTCATTTGAACTCTCCTCAACCCCTTTTTTCCCTGCTGAAAAATAATCTCGGCTCCTTTGAAATTTCTTCAAGGAATTGAAGAGCTGAAGAAAAGGCCGTTCCCACCCCCGTTTGGCCTTGTGCCTCCACTAACAAGCCTTCTCCTAGCCCAAAATACACCCCTTCTATTCACCGGCCCAGAGGGGGGTTTTGTACTGAAATCCTGCAGGAAAAGGAAAAATGCAAAATGTGTCCATTTCCCACAGAAATACAGCCAGGCAACGGCAACATGTTCTGCTCCCAGCCTGAGTGAAGGCTTGGCGCCTTTCAGCCGGTGCTCCCTTGAACTCCATTCTGCCCTCACCCCATGCCAGCAGCATCCCTGGAGCTTGTCCCTTCCTCACACAGCCCAGCGAGCTGTGAGAGCCGGAAGGATCTGCGGGCAGCAGGGTGCTCGTGGCCCTGCCGTCGGGGAGGGCCTGGCTGTGCATGCAGATAAGCTTCTGGTCCCTTGGCTGAGAGGCTGTAGCAATAACCATGACAATAGTAACGAAAGCCAGGCCACCAGCAGGTACTGACAAATCCTCCGCGGAGCACAGGGGCCGCATTGTGCGTGTGAACGTGTCGCTCGGTGGGAACATGCCAGCAGGATGAGACAATCCCCACGCTGGCACTGGGAGCATGACCGGCCGTCACATGGCGAAGGGCAGCGGCAGGGAACGCTGCTCTCCTTTATGTCTCCAGCCAGCACCGCTGGGGAGCAGCTACACTAGTGGGGCTGTTTGCTCCCTGCGTGCCCAGAACAGCCCTGGGAGGCGGGGAAGGCTCCATCCCCGACTCTCACCGTGGTCACGGGTCAGGCAGGGCAGAGCTGTGCAGCTGCTGTGTTATGCACATAATAGCAGCTCAGAGCTCGTGCTCAGCACCCCAGCGAGAGCTTGAAAACAAGTTCATTTAAAAAAAAAAACAAAACAGGTCCGGCTAATTCTTCCCACAAGAGAAATCCCGGCATGCCTTCGCTGTGCACCACAGGAATGTTGCCACCAGCACTTGTCCTGGCTGACCCCATCGTGCCCTTATCCCACTTATCAGTCATGTGGTGGGGAAGAGAGGGGCAGCGGGAAGGTGAGTGGCAAGGATCAGCCGAGCTCATGGCACTACAGGCAGCACCTGCTGGCATTTGGTTTATTTTGTATTTGTACTGGAGGAGAATTTAGAAACCCTCCATCTTACCTTGAAAGTAGGGTATCTTTGGGAAGGTGCTGCAGCAGCACTGGAATGCAGCTATGAAAGCTAAACCTGAACCCTGCTTCTGCCATCATGGCTATCAGCCTGGGCTCTACACCTGTATGGCTGCCCAGCGGCCAGACACAGCAAAGCAAAGGCCCCTTCAGGCAGCCAGGATTGCTGCCCTGGCATTGCCTTGCTGAGGACTGCAGCTGCTTCCAGGAAGTGTGTGATGGCCAGACCTGAGTGCTCTGTGCTGCATGCAGAATGTGGTTCAGCTGAAGGATGCCCCGGAGAATGGCATGCAGAGGGCACAGAAGCCCTAAAAGAGTTCTGAGATGATGTGACATTTATCCCCAGAATAACACACCAGGCCCACCACCTCCCTCCATTCTGTGTCCTGCCACTAAGCGTTGCTGACAACCACCTGCTGTCTCTGCCCCTGCTCTACCAGACAGGGAGAGGATGCTGGGCGCTGCCTGCTGCTTGATTCCCTTCACCCCACCCCGAGGAGTGGAGGGTTTGGGCTGTGCTCAGACAGAGCAGGGGATGTTTGTTTGGTTTCCTTGGTTACTGCACTGCCTGCTCCAGTAATCACATTTTCCTTGTGCTGGCTGGGCCAAGAGCTGCAGGGAGGAAATCTGGAACAACTGAGGTCAAACACCAGCCTGGGAGCAGCCAGGGCCACTGGCCATGGTTCATCTGTGGCATTTGGGTCCTTGCCATTGTGGGTACCCAACCCGAAAGGGATGTACCAGGTCCTGGGATGCAGCAACAACTCCCTGCTGCTTTCCTTCAACAACTGCCCAAGGGCTTCTTCACTCCCATGTGAGCCAGGGACACAGGCACCAGCGCTGAACTGCAGGAGGAATTACAGGAATGAAAATGTTTGTGCAGGCAGAAGCCAAGCTGGCTGTGCAAGTAGGGGATGTGAGTGGGGGAGCCTGCGAGCGTGGGTGCGGCTGTATTTATGGCAATGGTGGCGGCGGGGGGGGCAGTGGGAGTGAGCGCGTGCAGGGGTAACAAGGCTGCTAATGCTTTTTATTCCTTATGCATTCCTTAGCCCAGGAAGCCTGGAGCACTAATGCCAATTCTTGTTCCAGGGAATTCCCCCTGCATGTTAACGTTCACAGACAACACTGATTTGCAGCAAGAAAGATGAATTTTAAACGTGCTTAAAATGACTGATCTCACATCAACACCCTTTCCCCCCACAATAATTTACTTCAGCAGCAGTGAAAACAGTGTATGAGCTCCCAGCTCCTGGCTTCCCAGCCAGAAGTGAGAGCCGACTCCAGCATGGCAAGTGCCACTGCCACTCTTGCACATAACATCCACTCATAGTGACCAGATCAATGTGCAAAGCAGAGCAGAGAGAACCACCTACCCAGTGCCGAGTGAGCAGACATGGGCAGAAGGGCTTGTCAGCCCGCCTGGCCTGACCCTCCTTGCCTTCTTCCCCAGACATGGAGCCGGGGCAGCGCAGCCTGGATGCGGAGCAGATGCAGCAGCAGCAGCAGTTGAAACTACGGGAGCGGCAGAAATTCTTTGAGGAGGTTTTCCAGCATGAAGTGGATTTCTTCTTCCCCGTGTCTCACCTGCAGCTGGAGCATCGGAGACGTAAGTGCTGTGGGTAGCGGAGCAGGACTAGACATGCTTCAGGGAGCAGGGACAGATCAGAGATTGGCAGGATGTCCCCAGCCTAAATGGCAGCCAGGGACAGCATGTCCTGCACGGACAGGGCCACACATGCTGCGTGTGGGTGTGCACATGGATTACTCACTCCACTTAACAAAGGCACTGAACTGGGGTACCCAGGCTGGCTGCCGGCATAGTCACTGGCTCTCCAGACAGCAGTTTGGAGCTGGAGCAGGGATTGTGGCGACAGCAGAGTTTTCCAGGGGATGTTTTAAGCAAATGTGATTCTCATTTGGACCTCTTACCAGAGGTGCAATTTGGTTCTCCACTGCAAGGCTGGCCTCCCATTTTGGAGTTCTTCATGAAATCCATGGGCCAGACAGGCTTGGTGCTCTTTGCCTGACACTAGCACTCACCATTTTGCTGACCTCTGTCTCTGCAGCCCCCTTGGGGAGCATTTCCTCCATGGAGGTGAATGTGGACGTGCTGGAGCAGATGGACATGATGGACCTGTCAGACCAGGACACTGTGGATGTGTTTCTGGCCTGTGGGACAGAGGAGAGCAGCGTTTCTGAGCCCCTGACAGGTATGAGCCCTTTGTGGTCCAGACCGGGAGCTCTTCCTGCCTCCAGCATCCTCACCAGCTTCTTCTTCAGCCCTGGCCACTTTGACCTGTCCCAGTGCTCTGTGTACATGTGCACATACACACATCTTCCATACAAAGACAGTCACTTGGTGCTGGTTACCACGAGGTTGGCAAGACCTCACCCTGGGCTGGTCCATGCCACTATCCACCTCCACAGCCCAGAGGTAAAGACCCTGTAAATATACTGCACTGCAGAAGATAAGAGAGTCCAAACACAGACAGCCCCATGAGCCAGCAGCAAAGCTGGGCAGACGTCCCACAGGGAAAGCCCCACATGCCAGCATCTTCCTCCCCACGCACATGTACTGCAGCGAGTCACCAAGGCCAAGCCAGACATTTCCCCAGCACATCCTGTGACTGCAGCTGATGGCCTCACACAGCATGGCTCTGAGCCGTGCTTCACACAAGACAGAGAAGGCTCTGCTACCAAAAATGGGGAAGGAATGCAAGGCAGAGCCCAGAGCCAAGCCAGGGGGGTGAGATGGGGAATGGCTTGAGCAGTCACACAGGTCCCACTGCACCCCAAAGAGGGGTGAAGGAGAACATGTGGCCTACAGATTAATAACGTGGAGGGGGGGGGGGGTAGCTTTGAAGTTTTGGAGGGAAGAAGCCTCCAGAAGCCTTTTTCTTCCTTCTCTTACCTCTCTCTCCTCCAGGAGCAGATGCCAGCCAGTGCCAAGAGGAAATCACCCTGCAAGTGCCCAATGCAGCTGAGACCAAGTCACGCATTTCTTCCACGTCCTCTGTCTCCACGGATCCCAACAGCCTGGACACCAGCGAAGAGGGGGCTGAGACCCCCGTGGTGCAGTCAGATGAGGAGGAGCTGCAGGAGGACAGTCCCAAAGAGCTAGCAAGAAGCTAGCAGCCAGCTCTGCTCTGCTCCCAGCCTCTTCTGGATGGACCTGCCAGCCTGGAGGAAGGAAAGCTGCTGGCACTCAGTAAACCTCATCCTGGACTGCTGCCTTGCAGGAGAGGAGAGAGAGTTTTCCCCTTCTCTCCCTCTGCAGGTTTTCCTGGCATCCAAGGGAGAAGCAAATGGGTATTGTAGGCTCCCAAAATTAACTCTTCTGGCTTTGCTGCTAACACTGCCTTGCTTCATTCCCCTCAAATGCTCAGCATTGCACAGCCCCACCATTCCCAGAAACCATCCCTTGGGATCCCAGCTCCCATTGTCCCACTGACAAACACCCTATCCAGACAAGCATTTAACAAAGGCATACAGAGAAATAACACTCCTATCTAACCAAGCAGTGGGTGTGTGTGTTACTGGGAGAAAACAGCACTGGGATGAAGATTAGGTGGGGATTGCAGGAAGGAGAGAACTCTAAAGCAAGTGTGCTGGGAGTGCCACTTGGGAGCAAACTAATACAGTTCTCCTGCTATGCATCCCAGCTCCAGCACAGGGTGAAGACCTGCATGCAGGGAACAGGCAGCACAAACTTCTGTTTGCTCTGCAAAGCAGGTCACGTGTGGACGGGCAGGTCACCATGCAGTGCTGCATCCATGAGGCAAGCAGCCAGAGGCTGCAGCATGGCACAGCTGACCTCAAGAGGTTTGCTGGTGACCTGTAACTACCAGGATGATTTCCTACGCAAACTGGCTGACAGAGTCCATCAGCACACACAGCATCAGCTGCTCCTCCAACATAGTACAGGATCATCATCATCATCCTGGCTGGAGGCTGATTTGGAGGAGTGAAGGAGGAGCCATTGCAGTGGAGCCCTGTTGCAGCTTGCTTCACTGGCTTCCTGTGAGCCAGGACAAGCAGGGCCTACTACCTCTATCAGCACATGTAGGCCAGGAAAGTGCTGTCACTGCCCCCGCTGCGTCAGCAGAGCCACAGTCAACCCACAAGTGAAAGAGCATGGAGATAAGCAACAGGGATGTAGGAACACCGTGTACTCAGCTGTTCCCCAGGGGAACGTTCTTGCCACGCTGCAGGCAGGCAGCCCTGCACAGAGAGCACTGCATCTCTGGGTATGAGGAGCTCCATCACAGCCCTGTGCCAGCATCCTCACAGTGCAGCCTTCCTCCTGAGATTAGCAGATGGAAGCAGCGTGCAGACGAGCCCACTCCCAAAGGAATCTGCTGCCTGCAGGACAGACACATCACAGGGAGACCAGAATGCAGAGGGGCATTCCGAGGAGAGGGAACCGCGGGCAGTGAGGGCAGCGCTGGGCCTTGAGGACAGTCCTCGCAGAGCCCACAGACGGCAGGAGCAAAGGAAAGCTCTCAGAGGAGAACCCAGGCTCCTGCCACGCAGGCTATATGCATGCCGTCGCCACTGGAGCCGGCGACAACTCGCTGCCCTGACCGGGTCCAGGCAACGAGACGGGCGCCGCCCGCTCAGCGCGCCACAGCACACAGGCAGCACCGCCGACCCGCACCTCCGTCGCGACGCCGGAAGCGGGCGCCATTGGGCGGCAGGACCGGAAGCGGAAGTAGGTGGGCGGGGCGGGCGGCCATGCTGGCGGCGGGGCTGGTGCTGCTGCTGGCGGCGGGGCTGGGGCAGGGGACAACGCGGGGCGTGCTGCGGGAGGAGCTGCTGCTGCGGCCCCTGCCCGTGGGGGACGTGGCCGCCGTTTTCCAGTTCCGCACGCGCTGGGACGCCGACCTGCAGCACGGGGCAGGTAGGGCGGCGCGGTGACGTCGGAGATGCGGGTGTGACGTCACGTGGGAGGGCGTGCGACGTCGCACGTGCTGTGGTGACGTCACGCGGGGTCGAAGGTCGTGTCGCGCCACGTGCCGATAAGGGAGGTGAGGCTACTCGGTGCTGATGCCGTGGGGTGCGGTGACACGGGAACAAGGCTGCGTGATTACATGGGGTTGATGACGTCAGCAGGCGGAGGCGCGGTGTCGCAGCGGTGACGTCATGGCATTCACACCCCTGTAGTCTCTCACTACAGGCTCTTCCCGAAGGCGCTGGGGCAGCTGGTGGCAGCACACGGCGTGCAGGAGCTGCACCTTGCCCTTACGCAGGGCTTCTGGAGTACCCAGAGTTGGGGGCAGCCGCCCCTGGGGGCCCCTGCTGGCGCTGAGCTCTGGGTCTGGTTCCAGGACACCGTCCCTGAGTACGTACCTCCAGCAACCACTGCATCTATGGGATTGTAGCCTTGTCCAGGTGGGATGCAGGGCTGCAGATGGAGAGCAGGCAGCACATCTGTCCCTGCAGCACGGTGTCCATAGCCTCCTCTCCTCAGAGGTACTGCTTGCTGGGGCTTGCCTTCAGCTAGAAATGGTTTGATGTCAGGTGGAGTGAAGGACCTGTAAGAGAGGAGCAGCTGTAAGGAGAAACAGAATGGACCTGTACTCAGTCTGAAGAGCAGAGTGGTGCACGGAGAGAAAGCTCTTGTTCACTCAAGGAACAATGCCCTCTTGTCTCTGTGATGACAAAGCTCTGGCTGTGGTGGCAGGGTTACACCCCAAGCTCTTACCCATGACTCACTTCCTCTGACTCCTATACACTATCTGTCACCATTCCCTGTCTCACGTTCCCTCTAGCTTGGCTGCAGCAGCTCAGTGTGGATTCACAGAGCTCTCTCTGTCCTGCCATCCCACTGAAAGCTGCCTTAAGTTGCCCCATCCAGCCCCCACCACTTGCTCACTGCTCCCCCAGCCTTACGTACCACTCACTGCCAGCCCAGCGACTGCCCCTGCAGTAAACACCCACATCTCATGTGTTAGAACAAAGCACTGGGAGGGGTGGACAGTTGAGTGACCAACAACCTGAAAGCTCCTGAAAGCCAGTGTGGTCACTGCAGTATGTTATTGGATGTTACCGAATTAACACCTGTTATTCAGAGGCTCCAAGCTAATGAGTAATCTTTGGTGTCTGTTCTCACGCAGTGTTGGCAAAGCCTGGAAAGAACTGAGTAACATCCTCTCGGGAATATTCTGTGCTTCTCTGAACTTCATTGACTCTACCAACACAGTCACTCCAACAGCGTCCTTCAAACCCCTGGGTGTAGCCAATGGTGAGCCTGACCCACACATCTGAAGAGCTGGCTTTGTGCACTGGCTCTTGTCCCTGGTCTTAGTTCTACTGCCCCCATGGCACATCTGGGTGCAGGTCCTGCAGGGACTCCTGCACTAGCAGTGCTTTTTCCTGTGTTGATGTCACTGTGATGAGATATCCCTAGAAAGGGAAATCCTGTGTCCGTGAACAAATACCAGAGAGGCTGGTGCTTTTCTAGCTCGCTCAGGAGAACAAGTGTTCCCACTGTTTCCTGTCAGCTAACCTTACTTCAGCAGCTGGCAGTGCCCTATCTGAATACAGACATGTACAGTGGGGATTGCTAACTTGCTGGAAGCATTGCCTCTCCCTACTATTGAAGCTTATATTTATGCAGAGGAAACCCAAAATAACTATGTGGCAGGTGCTTGCAAGCCCTTAGCTATCTCTGAAACATGTTTTACAAAGCATCCAGTGAGAACTGCAGGATTTAAGGCACTCTGAAAAAAAATCTGCAAAGAAATACCCTTACTTTAGTCTTTCCAAATCACTCTGAACAAGTAGGATCTATTCCTGATTGAGATTGTGGCATTTTAGGCACCTTCAAAGGGTGCTGGGCCCTGAGGTACACTAGAGAATGGAACTGGTCTGCTTCTGCAGCAGAATCATAGAATCATTAAGGTTGGAAAAGACCTCTTAAGATCGTCTAGTCCAACCATCCACCTACCACCGATGCTGCCCACTAAACCATGTCCCTGAGTGCTACATTTACACTTTCCTTAAACACTTCCAGGGATGAGGACTCTCCCACTTCCCTGTGCAACTTGTTCCAAACTCTTTCAGAGAAGAAATTCTTCCTAATATTCAAACTGAACCTCCTTTAGCACAACTTGAGGCCATTGCCTCTCATCCTATTGCTATTACTTGGGAGAAGAAGCTGACCCCCAACTCTCAGGGAGTCGTAGGGAGTGAAAAGGTCTCCCCTGAGCCTCCGCTTCTCCAGGCTAAACAGTCCCAGACTGCTAACTCTCCACTTCCCTACACAGGGACAGATCACCGTCTCCTGCGATATGCCGTCCTGCCCCGGGAGGTGGTCTGCACAGAGAACCTCACACCTTGGAAGAAGCTGCTGCCATGTGGCTCAAAGGTAATGGCGAGTTCTGTTCCAGCACTGAGATACACTCTGTGGAGCTAGGTGCAGTAATGTGCACAAGGAAGTCTCAAAGCCTTGCAGAGAGCAGACCACGGACTGAGTTTTTCCTCTTCCCCCTGCAGGCTGGTCTGGCTGTGCTGCTCAAGGCTGAGCGGTTGTTCCACAGCAGCTACCACTCGCAGGCAGTGCACATCCGCCCCATCTGCCGGGTAAGCATCAAGCTCAGTGGCTCCCTCCTGCTCCTCCCTCTTTGCTCCAGCAGCTGGGCAGTGCAGGGTGTCTCGTGGCCACTTGGTGCTCTACAAATTGAGGAGAATTCAATTTTAGCAAGCTTTAACTGGTGCTGAGTTGTAGGAAGCTTTATCACCCCCTAGGGAAAACTGGTAGCCTCATTGTTGTGACTCTGTTCAGTGACATGATTTTGGCCACCTCCCCTGCAGTATCTCACACTTTTTCTGGTCTCATGTGCGCCTTGATGGGACTCTTGCAGTCCTTCTGTCTTGCTTTTCCAGAAGGTGTGATTGAAGCTATCTCTTCCACAGGATGCTTCCTGCCTGGCTGTTTCCTGGGAGCTCAGGCAGACACTCACTGTGGTCTTTGACAGCTTTACCACTGGCCAAGGAAAGAAAGGTAAGCTCAGCACCACTATGCTGTGCTCCCTACAGCCCATCACTGCTCCCTACACCATCCATCACTGCATTTGCCTCCCACAGATTGGTCCCTGTTTAAGATGTTCTCTCGCACCCTTACCGACGCGTGTCCTCTGGCATCAGAGAGCAAGGTCTATGTTGACATCTCTCCTAAGAACAAGGTAACACCCATGGATGAGGGAGCTTCCTGCTTTCTCAGTTCAGTGGCACTGAAGCATCCTTGCCTCTTACATCAGGGACTGAGCTCAGAGGTGTCAGCAAGCGTGCTGAACTGGTTGTTGGGTGGGAAAGCTCAGGCTGGCTGCTTCTGAGTAGGGTTTTGCCCTGCACCACAATTTATTTCAAGAGCAATTTTTCTTTTCATGGTCCGCTGGCTTTCTCAGGAAAAAGAGTTACTGGAAGTGACCCCCACACCAACATCTGTACACGAAGCAATTGTCCAAGGAGACAAGACAACCTATGCAGTCTATGACCTGCTCAGCCCTGTGCTCTTCAATACATCTCGTAGCCTCAATGTGCAGCTGAAGTGGAAGCGGCCTGAAGACAGCTGTGAGTGATCACAGCGTTATCTCCTCTGCACTGCTGGCCAGGGCTGCGGGCCCAAAAGCTCCTGTCATCAGCCTCTCATTCCTCTTTCCTTTTCCTTTCTGCAGCGGAACTGTCAACACCCATAATGCATGCTCAGCGCTATGTAAGTGGGTATGGGCTGCAGACTGGAGAAATCAGCACGCTCATCTACAACACTCACCCATACCGTGCTTTCCCTGTGATCCTGCTGGAGACTGTGCCGTGGTATCTGCGACTCTATGTGCACACTCTGACTATCATAACCAAGGGAAAAGAAAACAAGCCAAGTAAGTAGACATTCCTGGCAGCATATTCCATCTGAATCCCTTGGCGCAAGCAGCACATTCCAGAGATGGTTTAGTTCCCTCCCTTGGACCCAACAATAACTGGGTAACATACCTGGGAAATGAAACATCTTATGGTGTTTTCCCAACCTTCAGTCAAGGTTTGCTTTTAATAAGTCTGTCCTATAGACTCACGTGGACAGTGTTTCATAAACCAGCAAGATTCTGAACCAAAGCAAATTGATTTGGGGAGTAAAGGAAACTTAATTTAAAATTGTTGACTTGATTACATTTTACATTTTTACCTTTCTTTTTGAACATCGACTTTCATGCATCATCATTGCTGAAGACCAGCCAGATTTAGCTTTAACATGTCTTTTTTTACCCGTGCATCTTCACTTGCCCAGAAAAACTCTTGCCAGGACAGGGGAAGCAAAATTATCCACTCTGTGGAGATCTCTGGGCAGTGTGAGGCTGGACATTCCCCTGCCATTCCTCCCCCCAGCCCATGCCACTGATGTGTGTCTTTGGGGTTAGGTTATATTCACTACCAGCCAGCCCAAGACAGGAAACGACCTCACCTCCTGGAAATGCTGATCCAGCTTCCAGCCAATTCTGCCACCAAGATCACAATCCAGTTTGAGAGGGCTTTACTGAAGTGGACAGAGTACCCTCCTGACCCTAATCACGGCTTCTACGTCAGGTAAAGTCACCTCCCAGCTTCTCATTTCCTTCTGGGTTATGTGCAGCACTTGCTGCCTGGGTTTCTGGGGTGGGAAGAACTTTTGTTCTCTTCACTGGCAAGACTGACACCAATATATCCTTTGTCTTCTTAGTTCATCTGTACTTAGTGCCCTGGTGCCCAGTGTCTTCGCAATGAAGGATGTGAATATGGAGGAGAGCCCACTCTTCACCTCACTGTGAGTGTGCCTTTCTGCTGGGAAGAGGGAATGTGCTGCAGGCCTGCTGCAGCTGTCATCCCATCTGGGCTTCACCAGCCTGCAAAACCTCAGGGGTCCTGGAGGGTGTCTGTGGTGTGTCAGGGGTCCTTGTGAGGGAGGCAGCTACAAGAGGCAACTGCTGGTGTAGGTCCCCACTGCCTCTTCTGTGATTTCCTATGGGATTCAGAGGTCTTCAGGAGGGCCTGACCATAAGGGGCTGTGAGCACTTCCAGAGCCACGCAGGCCTGGGGCTGAACAGCACAAAGTCTGTCTTGTGCAGGCTGACTCCTGCTTCCCTTCTCCAGGTTTCCTTCCTCCGATGGCTCCAGCTATTTCTTGCGCCTGTACACGGAGCCACTGCTGGTGAACTTGCCAACACCAGACTTCAGCATGCCCTACAATGTCATTTGCCTGACGTGCACGGTGGTGGCTGTGTGCTATGGCTCCTTCTACAACCTGCTAACTAGGACATTCCACGTGGAGGAGCCCAGCCGTGCAGGGCTGGCCAAGCGGCTGGCCAATGTCATCCGCAGGCTCAGGGGTGTGCCGCCCATCTGAGAGCTTGGGGCACGGCCCTGGGAGGAGCAGAGCCCTGCTGCCTCCTGCCTTTGCTGCCTGTGTCCCTCTCCTGGGTCCTACAAGCTAAGGGATTGCTTCTGTAATTAAGGTGGGAAGCAGCTCTAAGCTCGTTAACTACTGAACTGCACTTGTACAGGGTTAGGAAACGTGTTAAGTATTCTGTTTGGGAGAAGGGGTAATTTATGTGCAGGGAAATATGCTGAAAGTAAACTTGAGCTGTTTTGTACATTTGTGCTGCTCCTCTTTGGGTTTCCTGACACCACAGGCAGAGGGAGCCCCGTGTGCTGTGGGGCTGTAGCAAAGTGCTGCAGTCAGTGTGAGCAGATGCAGAGGGCTGTAGGGCAGCACAGGGATCAGAGGTGGTGCCACCTGCTCTGCCACAGTGCCACATACCATTGCCCTCCTTCCAGCCTGTACCACAGCTGAGCCACTTTACAAACGAACCATCAGTTGTGGGCACTAAATTGCCTGCTTGTCCCCTCTTTTACCCCCAGGGTTCACTTGCCAGCTCAGAGCAGCCATGAGCACACAGAGCCTCACTTGGCAGATTTTGAACCACTGCCCTCCTACAGCAGCACAGGATACCTCTCTGCTGCCCCCAGGCACCATTCATACTGAATCCGTGCATCTCTGCGTCTGCACTGCAGTGCCAGCATTGGCCCAGCAGTGCCCAGCAGCACTGTGTGCACGCAGCCGGACACCATTCTGCACAGCACACACTTCAGCTTTGCTGCCGTTAGCAACCTGCAGCGGGAGGACACGTGCCGCAGCGTGGCCTGGGACGGTGCCGCTATCAAATCACAAAAACTTCAGCATAACTCCCATTCACCCCTCCATACCAGCGACGCTCACTCCTCCGCGGCCACTCGCGCCAGCAGCGCACGGAAGCGCAGGTCAAACAACGGAGCTGCGCGCATGACAACATCGCGCATCGCGCAGTGCTTTCAGTCCCCGCGTCCACCCGCCGCGCATGCGCAGTGCTCTCAGTGCCTCTTCCACCCGCCGCGCATGCGCAGTGCTCTCAACTCGTCCGCCATCAGCCGCGCGTGCGCAGTATTCTCAGTCCCCTCTGCCACCTGCCGCACATGCGCAGTTCCCGCCCCGCGCGGCTGCCCGCGGCGCCGCCTGACGGAGCGGCCGCGCTGCCCCCGCCGCCGCCTGAGCGCGGCCCGCGGCGGAGCCGGTGCGGGGCGGCGGGGCCGGGCCTGGGGAGGCGGGGAGGGAGGGTGGAGAGGTCCCCGGGCGGGCGTCGGTACGCGGCTCCAAATCGGCCTCTCCTATCCCTCCGCAGGGCGCGGCGCGTGGAGACGGCCCAGGGATGGCGGCGTGAGGCGGCGGCACCGCGCCGTGAGTACGGGCCGGGCCCCGCGCGAGGGAGGGCAGGCGCCGCCGGCCGGGCCGGAGCTGGGCGACAGAGGGCGGGAGGGCAGGCGGAGGAGCGCCGCGACACCGGCGGGATCGGGCCGCCATCGGCGTAGCACTTTGCTTCCCCGCCGCTCTCTGCTCCCCTTTCCCTGTAGCTGCGCCGGGCGGCCCTCCCGGCACTGAACTCTGAAGGAGCCCGCTGCCAAAACAACCCATCTTACAAACGTGGAACGGCTTCTGCCTTTCCAGCCTGTGTGTCACGGCTCCCCAGAACGCGCTGTGGGTTTGCCTCGATTTGCGAGGCAGAAATCTGAGCCCTGTATTCACGCTCACACGTCGTGGTGTCAGAGGTACAAAGAGGGGTTCCTGAGGGGATCCGAAAGAAAAATAGTGTTCTTTAGGGAATGTAGAATAGGCCAGGAATTTTATGGTTATTGGCAAGTTAAGGCCAAGGAGGTGGAGAATAAGATCCAGTGATAATTAAATTAGTGCAGAGGAGAATAGCAGCACTTGACAGTTGTTGCTGTTAGCTCTACCATAGAGCTAACTGAGTTAAGGTTCTACTTCTGTGATTTCCTGCTCTGAAAAACACCCCTGCCATCCTCTCTCTCCTGTCCAGAGGTTCATCGGCTCTATATTGGCTTTAATTATGCTGCTGTCCGAGCAGGCAGGTCTGCACAGTAACTGGACACTGTCTGATCAATTCCCCAGTGAAGTAACGAAGCTGTGAGAGCAGCCCTGGAAATGGTAACAAGTGTCTCAGCAGATGTCTGCACTTTCCATGAAAGGAGCGTTGTTGTGGGTTGTCTCTAGCTTGAGAAACCAGAACACTTTGTAACCCCTGAGGCTTGATTAATCAAGGATTTGCTGCTCTTTTGGAAAAGCGTTTGCAATTCTATTGCACCATTTCTGAGTCTCCACCAAGTGTTCCAAGGCATGAACTTATCAAAGAATGGCATAAGGCTTTTGCCAGAAATGGAAGGCTCACTTTTTCCAGCTGAGTCATACTGGCAGATAAACTTAAACTAAAAAAAAAAAGAAAAAAAAAAGAAAAAACAAACAAAAAACACAGAAAAACAGCCAGAATTACCAGAATAAAAGCTGACATTAAATCTCTGATATTACAGATAGGTCTTAAAAGTTTGAACCGTTGTGGTTCTTGGTTATTCTGTATGTCTGTTTTTAAGAGAGAGCACTGACATGTAGGAGGCTGGGCTGTTGTTTTTCTTAGCTGAAAATAAGTGACAATTTTTTTTATTATTAATAGCTCCTCCACCTCTTTCTCTCCAGTGCTTTGGATATTGTATTTAGCAGCTGTTTTGGACACTGGACAGTGTTTGCAAGTTGGTTTTAAACACGTGCTGGCAGCAGGAAGCTCTGCCCACACACATAACTTAAAGCTGCATGGCTGCAATGAGGTTCTGGATCTGAACTGTTTTAAGCAAACTGTGCTATAGGTGAGGTTTATGCACAACAAACTCAGTGCACATCCCTGAGGCACACTTTAAGTGTACACACACTTTAACTTGGGAGATTTTTATCTAGATATGTGGCTTTTGGTTCCCAAGCAGGAATTTGAGCTCCTGGGAGAGGGGTAAATGGACTGCTTAAGGAGTTAAGATGTTCTCAAGAAAGATATTAACTCAGTTGTGACATACTGATACAGGAAACTTGCTGGGTATGAGCACTTGTCAGCCTCACAGTTTCTGGATTAGCTTGTGGAATACCAAGGAACACCTTGCTAGCTCCTCACGTGGATTTAATACTGCAAAATACTAAACTTGTGAAGGGCCACAGAGATGATCAGGGGGCTGCAGCACCTTCCCTATGAAGACAGGCTGAGGGAGCTGGGCTTGTTCAGCCTGGAGAAAAGAAGACCGGGGGTGACTTCACTGCAGCCTTCAGTACCTAAAGGGAGCCTACAGACAGGAGGGGAATCAAGTCTTTGAAAGGGCAAATAACAGCAGGACAAGGGAAAATGGTTTGAAGTTGAGGGAGGGAAGATTGAGGTTGGATGTCAGGGGGAAATTCTTTACTATGAGAGCGGTGAGGTGCTGGAACAGCTGCCCAGAGAGGCTGTGATGCCCCGTCCATCCCTGGAGGTGTTCAAAGCTGGGTTGGATGGGGCCCTGGGCAGCCAGGGCTGGTATGAGATGGGGAGGTTGGTGGCCCTGTGTGTGGCAGGGGGTTGGAGCTTCATGATTCTTGAGGTCCCTGCCAACCCTGGCCATTCTGTGATTCTGTGACTTGTCCTAATAAATGCTTTGTTTTTCTTTCTGGGTGGGAAAGGTGTGCCTGTCTGCCTGCATAGGAATCTGAAAGTCTTCCCCACAAACATGCCAATAAGAACTGCTGGATTTGAATGGTCTTGGGAGGGAGGGAAGATGAGAGAAGGAAGGACTCTGCACGCTGTGGAAACTGATTAATAGGCATGTGGAAAAGGTCGGTGTTTGCTTACTAACGAAGTGTGCAGGGAGCCTCCCCACACTGCAGGAAGCGTTAGGGAGGAGGCTGCAGCAGCGCCTGGAGATCTGAGGGGAGCCCAGAGTGCTGGCAGCAGGGAGAGCAGCAGGAGCATCACGAGCCGTGCTGCTGAGGGGGCTGGAGCAAGTTGGTGTGGCTCTGATTGCTGTGGAGGAGCCCGAGGTGCTGCATGAAGAGGAACTGATGGTAAACTCAGCAGCAGCCAAGTCAGATGACTTGAGCACTCCTGAGGATAGCAGGGCAGCGGGCTGCTAAAGAATGAGATGAGTCACAGGGGCAGGGGAGAACGAGAGCAACTGGTTGAGGGAAAGCAGGGCGCGTTGTGAAACAGGGTGCTGGTAGAAGCGCTGTTGGCCGACAGGTAATTATTTGTTCTGGGACACGGTAATCTTTTGCTTGGATCATGAGGAGGGGACAAAGAAAGCAAGGGAGGAATGTCTCATTTGCAAGTTTCACCAGCACTGTTGCTTGAGAATCCAGGCAGATCTGCATAACCTGCGTGCTGTTACGGCTTTGAGAAGGGACTCTCTATCCCGGATGCTGAGGGATGATTCTTCCCTGTTCGGTGAAGAGCTGACAATGGGAGGCACCATTTCTCTGCAGGAAACCCTCAGCAGGAGGAGAATTGATCGTTTGGAAAGAGAACTTTATCCCTCTGCCAGCAGTATAAAGGACTGCGCTGAAGAGTGGGGAAGAGCACGACTCTTAATTATGGAAAATCCCACGAGGAATACAGGGGTGTGGAAGTTTCAAGTAGCAGTTACCTTATCCAGGATCAGCTGTGGGATCACATAGACAATGTTTTTTTCAGCCCTTAACTAGTGTAGAGTTAAGAGGCATGGAAAATAAGAGCAAACTGACTACAGATATAAGACTAACTGTGCAAACATCTGCATTTGTTTGAAGTGTAAGAGTTCTGGAGATGCGAGGGCAATGACAAAACTTCATAGTAAAGAAAGACACTGTGAAGTGTTTCTTTGTTCTGCAGAGTGGTTTTTCTGATTGCTGCAAGCAGCTGGCTCTTCAGGAAGTACTCATATTTAACAGTGATTAACTTGGTGTGAGGCCTGTGTCTGTGGTGGGAAAGACTGCAGGAAACTTCAAGGAGAGAGCACTCTGGAGGATGGCTGGAGATGGTTGATGCAGCACAACTTGACTTACTGGAGGCAATGTGGTCTCTGCCTCCGCAGGACAGGAAATAGAAGTTGGGGTAGTGGGGTTCATTTATCATCTGTTCAAATCTCTGTTGAATCTTTTCTCAGAACAATTCCCAGTTAAGAAGTTACCTAATGATTCAGCAGTGCTTTTCTCTCCAGAAGCAGCTAACTGATTCACAGAGGCCAGCAGAGAGCATTTTTTGCTATGGAATGAGTAATT